GTATCTCTGCGCGCCACCTTCCTCAGTGAACTCGGAAAGAGTATTTAGTGCATCGGGTAACATTTATGTTGAAAATAGAAATAGGTTGTAGCCCGATAATGCGGAGACTTTGATTACTAATTAGATACTATTAAATTGGATTACAAAATACAAAATCTGGGTCAAATTTCTAAATTGAATCTTCTATAATCGATATCCGGAATCCGGCCGGATATTAGCCAGTATCCGGCCGGATAACCGGATAACCAAAAAACGGCCGGATAGGCCGGATTCCGGATATCTACCGGATACCCGGCACATCCCTAGAAAATACCTTTCCAGTGATATCTAATAAGTATAAATCTGTATAGTTTTGCCCCAGTTATTCAAATTTTTCTTAAACGAATCTTTGAAAAAAGTGAAAAGCAGCATCAAATATCTCATTATTACGATCCCATTGAAAATATGTTTAAATATCTTTATGCAGATTTTTTAAGCTTTAACTGTTTTGTCATCTGAGGGAATTTTTTTCAAAAAGTTCTTTTAGAAACAAATTTTTCAATAATAACCCCATTTTAGGAGGTATATTCAAGTCGGTTCAGCTCACGTAAATCTTAACATTTTTTCGAAATATATTGGGGGACGTCTTTAAATATAATAAATTTTGTAATGTTATGCACTCTAATGTACATATACATATGTAATTATATCATATTTTGCTTAAAAGTTATTAGTTTACTTACCTTGCTGAAAACACAAATAAGAAAGATATGACATAAATCGCAACCATGACGTACATCCATACTTCTCCTTTCAATGGCTCAAGAAAAGCCAGCAAAGCCTTTGGCTCGGGTGTATCTGCATAGGCTAATATACTTACGCCAAGCTGCATGAAGGGCACGGTAAAGTCCACTACGGTACGGCGTGCCTGTGTAATAGTCAAGTCACAAATGCCCATATGTGCATCCTAAAAATCATTAGAGCAACAAAATAATTTATTTTAATGTTTGGACAATATCTTGTAGTAATTGATGTAACTAAGAATAGTTATTAACTAACGAAAATTATATACATATATGTGTGTGCATACAACAGATATTATACAAACATTATTGATCAGCTCGCCAATTATGCCGTTCCATTGCTTTGTTTCCTTATTGTATTTGCCATATTGGTTATCTGCTACAGGCACAAATATATACTCAAAATTCATAAGTTCTGCAATTTCTTTAATCAAATCTACTGCATAACCCATGTACCGTTCATTGCCAGTCACATTCTGCTCCACCATCTCGGGTCTGTTGGTTATCCCAAAGAAATTTTTATTCAATACAAACAAACAAATCTGATGCTCACATCTCCATAAAGTACGGCTCCCCAATACGCGTGGCTACACGATAAACCAGCTTCTTTGCGATGCTTGCCTCTACATGTTGCGGCGTTATTTGACCCTTCGTATCCCAGAAACCAATGCCACAATTGTCTTGCGGTTCGAAAATGTCTATGCCAAAATTAACGCGCTGTCCATCCTCGTCAAATTGCAGGTCACTCGAGCGATAATTGGTGTTATTGACGCCGGATGTCTGCAGTGGAAATAAAATTAATTGAGATTATGAGCACGGTTGCCACTTGGAAAAAGAAAATGTACCAGAAATTGTAGCGTTTGACTCTTTTTTGAACCGATGTTTTGTGTTTAAGAACTTATCATTTCATTTTATCTTAACTGAAATAAAAATTTTGAGACTTGTTTATAAGGACCAACTTGTAATAAATCTAGTCATAAGTTATTGTACCAGCTATTTACCAAAGAACACAGAAACCGAGAAGATGAACACTAGCTCCGTTCATGTATTCTCCAATAAAAAAAAATATTCAGAAACTTGCAAGTAACTTGATTTCCTAGGATCCCTCTCAATGAGAAAACTATCCCGAAAAGTACGGAAACGCTAACCTTACTAGCAGTTACTAGTTTCATGAAATTTTAATTAAAGAGTTTTCTTTTGCAAAATGCAAGAAGTAGCATGTAAACAGCTGTTTTTCTTATTGGCGAACTGTTACAAGTAAGAATTTATTCAGAAAAAACTTGCAGCTTCCTCTCAATTTCTGTTTCTTGCAAGTTTTTGCGCACGAAAACCCAAATCATGAAAGCTCGTAACAACTACGAGTATTACAAACTCAATATCGCGTAAAAAAGAAAACTAATATCTCAACGACGTTAATTAAAAAAGTAATTAATTTGATTTCCCATGTTTTCTATTAATTTGTTATTTGAACCAGCGTGATGCATATCCAGCGGTTACGAAATACGTAAAGAGCTTGTCAGTGATAATAATGCAATATATTTCGAAAGGCTGCCAAAATGAAAAATATCAGAAAGCCGTTGCATGACCTTGCATGTAAAGTGTCTTTCGAAAGAGGTTTCCGAAATGCGAAATTTTTGAAAACGTTTTCTTGGCGAATGAATTTCCGCCAATCTTTCACGATACTAAATGCATCCCTGGACTAGAGTCCGACCGATTAGTCGGCCGATGCCGAGGCTAGTATCGGGAAAAAGAATCGGCATCGGCCGTTTTTGGCCGGTTCTTGAATGAGGTAATATTATTTAGTTATTTGATTATGTTTTTCTTTTGTTATTATAAAAGTTTATAAAAGCATTTGTTCTTGAAATGAATTTATATTCAGGATATAATCGGCAAAAAATCGGCCTATGCTTCAGCCGATAAAATCTTGAATATAAATTAATTTCAAGAACAAATGCTTTTACAAACTTTTATAATAACAAAAGAAAAACATAATCAAATAACTAAATAACATTTCGTCATACAAGAATCCTCCAAAAACGGCCGATGCCGATTCTTTTGGCCGATACTAGCCTCGGCATCGGCCGATTAATCGGTCGGACTTTGCCCTGGACCGCTTGGCAGATTGTTTGTTTTTTCTCTTCGTTATAATAAAAGTTATTTTCAGTTTTAAGATTAATTAAATATTTATAACTAACCAATAAAATTCCGAAAAATAATTAATTAGAAATATTTCTGATATTTTATTCAAAATTATGCATTATTATTTATCACAAACTTGGTATAAGTGTCATACGGCAACACTCGATTAGTTAGCCAGCACTTGCAGCAGAAACAAAAATTGCTAGTTCAGCACGAGCAAGCTGAAATCTATTTTCGAAATTGATTTTTGCTCTTTCAATTGCCGTCACATCTTGCAACTTTTATTTCTGGAACTCATTCCCGAATTGTTACAGAAAGGTTTTTCTGGCTGTTCACTCATCGAAATAAAATTTATCTTTCTCAATTCGACAGCGAATTGCATGGAAAAGTTGGAAATATTGCCACGCCTGACACGCTATTAAGAAGCATGCAATTTCATGGATTTCTGTGTTCTTTGTACACTAAGCGTAATACATAGCTTCATATTGTTATCAGTGTTTCCACTATTGTCTTTTCCGACCAAATTGGGTCGCTTCTTTTTCATTTGGTAGTTTGGTCGGCAAAGTAAAATTTTGGTCGGATAGTTTAATTAAGTTTTTAAATTCATAATTATAAAAATACATATTTCAAACATAATTTTGCATATAAATATTTGCCAATTGTACCTTTTAAACATTTGCCAATCCTGCCTTTAAAAATAAGAAACGTAATTGGTTTGGGCACTGATGGAGCCTATGTTATGGCTGGATACTGAAAACATGATTGATTGCAGAAACCGATTTGTTTTATGTAAAGTGCACATGCCATTCTCTCCACCTTTGCTCAATCAACGCTTGTAAAAAATTGCCGAAAAGCATGAGACACTGTGCCGCAACATATATAGTTTCTTTTCCCACAGACCAAGGAGGATATATGAACTGAAGGAATTTCAGGACTACTGTTCGGTACAACACCACAAAGTCTTAGGTAGAACGCAAACGTCAAGCTGTGAAGCTGTGTTTTTCTGTGATCTGTTTAAATTTTGTGTTTGATAAAGCTGTTTACGCTTATTAAAGTAAACAATTAAAAAAAGTGTTAATAAACTTCTAGTGCACAATTTAAAGATAAGTAAAATTTCCCGTAAATTTGATTAATTTAACTTGATATTCTTAATTGCATGTGCCGAGTATTTTGTTTCATATAATATATTGTTGTTGTACAATTGTTTTTGTTTGTGCACATTGATTTTGCTCTTTTTGTCTTTTTGTCATTTCTGCTGTTTCATTCATTTGTTTATTAGGTGTCAAATATACAGTGCATTTAAAACTGTTCTCTAACTGATATTTACCAGCTGATTGGTTCACTGATTAATACATCGTTTTCAAAACCGTTTTTGCTTTTTTGCTTCTAAAACCTAAAAATAAATATAATTTTAAACATGTCGTGTATTTACACCAATTGCCACGTTAAAAGCGACTCCTATGTGTCATGCTGGCTCTGCGATGGGATTGCCCATATAAAATGTGCTGGTTTGAGCTGTAGAGTATTAGACGCTATTAACGAGGGTAGGGTCTTCGTTGGTCTTGTCAAAAATGTAGATCAACCGAAGTTGATTTATTTAAATTCTTCAGGCAGTCCAGAAATGGTTCGGGAAGGATCTGTCGGCGCTTGTTTAGAAATTTAAGCATTACGAAAAAATTTTTAGGTATTTCACTTGTCTCGACGACCCTCCACACGCTGAGGATAGCCGAGAAAATAAAGGTGGGCATGTTATTAGTCCACCTAAAAAGACAGCCACGGATTCTAGTAAAAAAAATCCTCCATCCCAGTCCTTAGAACTTATTAATTTATCTTCTCCATGCCCTCAGGCATTGGAGCCTCCGATTTCTAAAGCCATATCCACTAGGTCTACTTCTAAAAATAGTCAAACCGTTGATTTAACAGTGTTGCCATCAACACTCAAGGTCAACTGTCTAACTTAGTTCCTCCTAATAATTCGGAGCCCCGCACATCAGACATCATTACCAAAAAGTTGGTTGTAATTCCTCCGAGAAGATCAATCTTTGTCTCTAGATTTGCTAAAGATACTTCTTCGGATGATATAAAGTCATACATATCGACTAAAATTAGAACTAAAGATGTATTTATTCGTAAATTTAATTTTAAATACGATCGCGATATTTCATCTTTTAAAATTGATGTAGCTTCCGAAGATTTTGATTCACTACTAAATAGTTCATTTTGGCCGACCGGGGCGTTTGTTCGCGAGTTTGAGTATAAACCTAATAAAAGTAATAATAACGTAGCTAAAATTTCTAATCTTAATTCGGATTCAAAAAACTAACTCGCAAGTCTAATTTAAGTATTTACTATCAAAACGTTAGAGGTTTGAATACCAAATTAACTGACTTATATTTAAAAGGTTTTGACTGCAATTATAATATTATTTCCTTGACCGAAACATGGCTCAAACCTCATATTTTTAATTCCGAAATTCTTCCAAATGAATATCAAATATACAGGAGTGACCGCGTGGGCAGAATCGGCGGTGGTGTTCTTTTTGCGGTGCATTCATCGATACCATCCGAGGAAGTTAGTCTTCCTGTCATTGAATATACCGAATTTAAATGTATACGTGTACAGGCTGGAAAGACTTATATTTATTTAGCTCTTTGCTACATCCCTCCTAATTCTGCCGTATCGGTATATATGCAGCTAGTTTCTTTACTTGAGACCGTAAATGCAATGCTTACGGCATCCGATTCTATGATTGTTTTGGGCGATTTAAATCTGCCACATATTTCATGGAACATCATTGACACCGATGTTGTACCAGTTTCATCTAGAGATAGTTACAATGTATTTCTGGAGGAAATGGCTGAACTTTGCCTCAAACAAATAAATATATGTCCAAATAAGTTTGGAAAGGTCTTGGATCTCGTTTACGTTGATGATGTTCCGAAGGCCTCTATTAATCGGTGTGATCCCCTAGTTTTGCCGGAAGATGCATACCATCCTGCTCTTGAGTTAAGCTACGAAATCATAAATGAAATACATAATAATAAGTCAAGTTCAAGTACTAGATATGTTTTTGCGAAAGCAAATTTCAGGAAAATTAACAAAGAACTTTCAAAGTTATCTTGGCCAATATATAGAGATGACGTGGAGCGTAGCGTTGAGCACTTTAATGATACTGTTTTCAATTTGTTTCGAAAGTATGTGCCAATACGTAATATTGTTCATGAAGAACCAATACAATTATGGTTCACTAAAGAGCTTAAAAAATTGAAAAATAAAAAGTCGCACTCTTTTAAACTGTATAAAAGAACGGGCTTACACAGTGATTACTTAAGGTACTCCGTTTTGCGGCATAGCTACTTTGCATTAAATAAGAAATGTTATAATTCATATTTATGTAAAATTAAGAAGAATTTAATTAACAATCCTAAATCATTTTATGGTTTCGTAAATTCAAAGCGTAAGGCACATGGTTTTCCGTCCGCTATGCATTATCGCAACACTGTATCTAGCGACAGCCAACTCATTGCCAACATGTTTGCTCGGTTCTTTAGGTCCAATTATTCTGTAGACTTCCCTATAAGTGGAGACTATCCGTACGAGCTTTGTCCAATCAACTCTGCTTATATTCCAGTAATATCTTCCGATGAAGTTTTACACTCTTTAAAAACCTTAAAAGCGTCATTTAGGCCTGGACCTGATCATATTCCGACCTGTTTTCTTAAAAACTGCGCTGAGAACATCTGCGAGCCTTTAACAACTCTATTCAATTTGTCGCTTAAACATGGCGTTTTTCCGTCAGCCTGGAAGGAGTCTTTCATAATACCACTTCACAAAAACGGCAGCAGGTCGTCTATAGAAAACTATCGAGGCATAGCGAAACTCTCCGCTATCCCCAAATTATTCGAAGCAATTATTGTTAACCAGCTGACATATTCTATATCTTCTTCAATTACACAATCTCAACACGGGTTTTCTAAAGGAAAATCTACTATGACTAATTTATTGGAGTTTACAACTCATGTCTCAAACGGTTTTAGAGAAAATGCTCATACCGACGTAATTTACACCGATTTCAGTAAAGCTTTTGACAAAGTATGTCACTCGTTACTCATCCGTAAACTCGACCTAATCGGCTTTCAGCCCAGTCTTCTTCAATGGATCTCATCTTACCTCTCTGATAGAACACAAAGAGTTATTGTTAATAATTGTTCTTCCAACATCATTAAAGTATCTTCAGGAGTTCCTCAGGGAAGCCACCTTGGTCCGATTCTGTTCCTGATATTCATTAATGATATTTCTTCTATAATAAAACATTCAAAAATTTTAATGTATGCCGATGATGTGAAACTTTTTAAAACATTGTCCTCTATCGAAGAAAGGTCTTTGTTACAAGCGGATCTGAACAACGTGGTTAGTTGGTGTAATACAAACTATATGCCACTAAACCTTCAAAAATGTAAAGTTATGTGTTTCTCTCGGAGGGCTGTTCAACCAGCTGTTTATTCAATATCAAATTATAATCTGGAGCAGGTATCCAATTTTGTCGATCTTGGTATCACAATGGATTCCAAACTCAATTTCAACCATCATATTAATGTCACAGTCAATAAAGCCAAAGGCGTTTTTGCATTTGTAAGGCGATGGTCAAAAGAGTTCAAAGATCCTTATGTTACAAAAGCTCTTTTTACCAGTTTAGTTAGACCTATACTAGAATACGGATCTATTGTTTGGAATCCCCGCTACCAAGTTCATTCAGAAAGGATTGAATCAATTCAAAAACAATTCTTGCTTTTTGCATTGCGTAATTTTAACTGGGATTCAGATTACAATCTCCCCCCTTACACAAGTCGTCTAAAGCTCATAAATTTGCCTACACTCGCAAGTCGTAGAGAAATGCTGGGTATAATATTTATCGTAAAATTAATGACAGGCTTGATTAATAGCCCGGCCCTCCTGGCTGAGGTAAATTTTAATGTTCCTTCTCGAGTGTCAAGACACTTTCGACCTCTATTTTTAAAGCCATGCAAAACTAATTTTGAACTAAACGAATCATTCCGTGGTTTATGTCAAGATTTTAACTGTCATTCCAGCACGTTTGACGTATCGGACTCGATTTTTACTATAAAGAAAACTATTATTTCCACTCTCAATAATTGAAATACTATCTTTAGCATATCCAATCAGCTGATGAATTTGATTCTGTAGCTGAATAGTTTTAGATCTCGACACTTAACAAACTCCTGTTTCCACTACTCGGCACGAAAAAACTAAAAAAAAAAAAAAAAAAAAAAAGTTTCCGTACGTCATGCGGACTGCGCCCCTCGTGTCGGTTGGGCGGGAATGGAGGGTAAAAAGCCGTTGGGATTAATTAATTAATTAATATCTCAAACACGATGGCTTTCACTAGGAAGCGTTCTGTTAAGAATAGTTGAGCAATGGGATAGTTTGAAACGTTATTTTATTTCCTGCTTTTACGAAGTAAACGGTATGCGATCTGCAGACCTGGCAGAAGGAACGTGTTGCAAAACCAAATGCTATTTTTAATTTCTCTCGTATATTTTACTACATACATACATTTATGCAACTATCAAAGCACATTATATCATAATTTTGAGTAACTTTATTAAAAAAGATGCGATCAGTTACATATTAATATTGATTTTAAAAATGAAAATAATCATGTTAAAATATCTGATATTTTTGTTGGAACGAAAGCTGAGATGTGTATGAAAATTAATTTCAATTGTTCTGGAATCCTTGAAGTTAAAACCAATATATTAAAGTCTTACACGGACTTTTTGGTCAAATAAATTTAAGATTTGATCTCAAGCGTGAAGATATAAAACTTTTACAAATACTGACACCAGCTATGGTAGTTTCTAAAGAAGATTTACCAATTTTACCTCCTCTGTTAAAGTTTCCCCATCTCATAGATTGCGATCCTGATATAATAACCACGCAGTTGAATTGACGGCTCTATTCTGTATCAGCATCAGTATCAGTTCTGTATCAAATTCTTGTCACAGTTTTTATTACGGAAAAATATATGTATGAAAAAGTTTAAATTTGTCAGTAAAAAATTTTGTCACCGACACAGAATTTACAGAATTGGGCTATTACGGCTCTATTTTGTATCACTGACAAATTCTTGCCACAGTTTTTATTACGGAAAAATATATGAAAAAATTTAAATTTGTCAGTAAAAAAATTTTTGTCACCGATGCAGAATTGGGCTATTAATCTTAAATAAAGGAGTTGTATGCTTGTAGAATGCTTTTTTGTAATTGAAATTTATTTGGTAGGTTGTAAACAGTGTTGCCGTTTTGATCCATATACTTCAAAACTGATACGTGTTTGTGCAAATTTTCTGAAGATACTTTATTTTTTCGATAATTTTCGAGATACTTAAATTTTTTGCGTAGTACAAATTATAATACACGACAAAGAGAAAATATTTATGTATGTATGCAGCCTTAAAAATTTGACCGAAAATATTGAAACGTTTTGGGGTCAAATAAGCTTAAAGAAAATGCTTTAAATCATAGGTGGGCAATTTTAAGCACTAGATTTAGTGCTTTTTGAAAATTAAAACGCCGAAAAAAAGTATTTAGTGCCTAGTGCCTTTTTTAGTGATTTTTTTCTGAACTAAAATTACTCCGATATAGATAAAACCTGAAAGAGTTTTTAAATATTTAAAGCTGTGGCAGCACTGAATTTACAAAAATCTACAAATTTAAATGCATTTAAATACAACCATGATTGATAAAAAGCTGAACTTGCAAAGTCACCTTGCTCAATTCTATTCGCGTTGAAAATGCTAGTAGATATGCGAGTAAGTTAAGTTTTTTTTTTCTTTTCTAATTACTTGAAAAAATTTGTATTTTTGTACCACCTGAGTAAAACACATCGTTTCTTGGTGCTGAATACAAATCTGGCCGCACAATCGCTCTAGCACTAGAACTTTGGGATATCCTAACCTCAAAGTGCTAAAATCACGGTTTTTGGCGATATTTGAGGTTATATAATGAAACCATAAATTTTTTTACTCATTTCAACTTAGGGCATGATTTTCGTTTGTTGGGATTCGATCTTTCTTTCTTGAGATCTATCAGTTTTAATGTGCAGTACTTCGGTATTACGTCGTAAGCATGAGTCATTATAGCATAAGGCTTTTCAATCGTTATGAGCGAAAAAGTTTTGTTTATTGATTTATGTTTGCATTCTTGTACATATTGTAAATTTTTTGTTTTTGTTGAATACATACAAACTGTTATGAAAAAAGCATCCCTTGATTCAAAACCATTTGGTGCTTTTAGTGTGGTAAAACGCTTTTTCCCCAAGTTTTTGGTGCTTTTTGAAAATCAAAAGTTCGTAACACTGCGTATACAGAAGCAAAGCAGCGAATTTCGATTCAGTCCAAAGTGTCCAGATATGGCGATTTCGCGCCAATTTGGCGATTTTTTTTTGGATATTTGCGCGTAAAAATTTAGGAAATCGCCATTGGCGATTTTTGGCGATTTTTTCCCCTCAAATAAATTTTTTCCAATTATAAAAATATACAAAACTTAGTTTTCCACTATAACTTTACAGAAGAGGCCCATGAACTGCGTGATAAACTTGACTTAAGAAGCATAGTAAAAGGCAGTCAAAAATTTTTGATCACCCTTATCGAAGATATTTTGAAGCGATTACCTAGTCAATTAAATACATTTAAAAAGGTTTGATTTTGTCACCAGAAAAGTGTTTGAATCACAAGAGGGCGAGTTTCAGGGACTCTGAAGAATTTTGGATAATTGCTTACGGAGTGAAAACCGCAAAATGCAATAAAATGTTTCGAAATATAAGTAAAGTAGCCTTCATATTATTATCCTTGCCGCACTCCTTTGCTTTTGTTGAGCCGTTTTTCAGTAATGAATTCAACAAAAACTAAGGTTCGAAATAGGATGAGGTTGGAAAGCCTTAATTCAATAGTTCGAATAAAGTGTTGTATGAAGTCTAACTGTTTCTTGATTTGAAGTAGTGCATGATTAGTCAGAATCACGAAAAATTGCAAACTTTGACAGATCATATCTCCGAAGAGAAAAAAGAAAAAAAATTCCTCGAAGACGTGTTAGCTTATTTACAGAACCCATAAAAACAATTTGAAGCGAATCGGAGACATGACATAATTTTTTTTTTACGAAATCCGTCCGACTTAAAAAGAATGGCTCATATACACATAAAGGGTTAGAATGAACTTTAAACATGTGATTCACAAGGGAAACGAATGTTACTACCCCATATAAATTAACAGTCTAGCGAATCAACACTTCCCTTTGTATTTAAACTCCGCCAATTCAAAATTATTGTAGCGTTCGCAATAACAATAATTAAGCCTCAAGGTCGGATCTTAGAAAGAGGATTGCTTTACGCATGGCCAGCTATGTATACATATTGAGTAGAGTATAATCTTGCCAAATACCAAAGTTAAAGTTAGCTACCAAATTTTTTAGACCACGGATCACCCCGATTTTCGGGGATTATTACTAGTTTATTATATGGTAGGAGCAGTGTTGCCGTTTTGATCCATATGCTTCAAAAGTGATACGTCTTTGTTCGTATTTTCGAAAGATACTTTACTTTTCGCTCATTTCGCAAGATACTTAAATTTTTCGAGTAGTACAAATTTTGATACGTGTTAAAGAGAAAATATTTATGTATGTATGCAGTGGCAGCTTTTAAAATTTCATCGAAGATATTAATGCGTTTTGGGGTCAAATAAGCTTAAAGAAAAATGCTTTAAATGAACTGTGTATAAAGAGCTGACCTAATTTTTAATTTACTTTACTTGCCTAATAAACAGCTCTGCACCTGCAGAGCGTATATTTTCAGATTTAAAATTGATACAATATGAAAAGAGAAATAGGTTTCATTACAAACTGTAGAGAATATGATGGGGAGTATTCATAGTAAAAATCACAGTATACAGTAAACCAGCCATTGACAATATGCTTATTTGAAAATTAATACATGAAATATTGTGCATGTATAGGATCATTTTGTCATTAACCCATAGGCAATGACTGGTGCAAAAGTACCCCCAAATGTTTGTTGATATATTTGAAATGTAAATTTTAACAGCGAAATTCGTAAAAAAAAATAACAAAACAAAAATAATGTTGATTACTACATGGGAGGTGGTCGTGGTTATAGAGAGATTTCACCAAAATTTAATACTAACCTAAATTATACCAAAGGCAACTTCGGCACCGACTTTCGTTAAAATATCTAAATTTTGTTCGAGTTAGCGTGTTTACAAACAGACACGACTGAACCAATTCATTTCGTCGTTCTGAATATTTTGATAAATATGTATTTTATACCATTGAAAAACGGCCTTGCTTATCTGCATCAACCTTTCCTGCATTAGTTCGAGCGTCGATATATAACTTTGGGTACATATTTCATAAAACCTTTGGAGGTCTCCACTATAAGAGTGGTATATTTTTAAATAAGAGAGTTCTACCTTTAAGCTAAGTAATACTTGTTTTACCCCCTAATTTATGGGTCCATTTTCCAAAATCAGCCCACCATTATTCACTCAAAGTTGTGTTTGGAACCAGATATGACTTATGTAGGAACTGCATCCGGTTATAATCGCTTACGCTGCAAGCCTGATTTGCTAGGAATTTTGTTTTTCTCGTTGTTTTATTTTATGTGTCTTGAAAATATTTTCCACTATAAGAAAATATTGAAATTGGATTTCATTTGTGTTAAAGAAAACGACAACTGTGATAAAATATCAACCAATACATTCAAATAAATTGTCAAATAAGCATATTTACAATTTTTGATTTGCCTATCTGGATTATTGTATACTGTGGTAAAAATAAAGTCGACACTGAAGGCAGGCTCAACTTTTGAACATAATTTCCAACGAGGTTAACGTGGAATGTATCACATAATTTGATAATTAACGTAAATTATCGACAGCTCATACCCTGCAAACCAAAGTTCCGGAAATCTTAACGAAATTTTAAAGAAACTCGGAAATGTGTTTCGAATTCTGTAATGATTTCTTTACGAATTTTCAAAGAAAATCGTATGAAGGGGTTGACACGAACTCGTAAAGAAGTATCTGTAGGATTTTTTAACTAAAATTCTAAAAGATTTCTTTAGGAATATTTTGTTAAATTTCTGAATGAAAATCCGAAAGGATTTCTTTAAATATATATTGTTCAATTTCTAAAGAAAAATTCTAAAAGATCTCTCTAAGAATATTTTTTCAGCATTCTGAAGAAAAGTTAGAATAGATTTCTTAAAGAACATTTTGCCAACCTTCTGAAAGAAATTAAACACGGAAATTTTTGGAAATTAATCGCTAAAGTTTATTCGGTTTATATACTATATGAAATGTATGAGAGGGGGATTTCAATTACTATCCGGCTGTTTGCGAGGGTAGCGACCAAATAATTACAAAATGCTCGTTTGCCTATGAGGCAGCTTAATGTTAGCTACAAAAGAATTCACAATAGTTTTCAAGGTTTAAGGTAAGTAGATGTACAATAACGTGATAAATATAAATTTTAAGCGTTCAAAAGGTAAGTATTCAAAATATTAGTAAAAGCTAACTATTTCATGGTATAAAGAAGGTAAATACAACATGTTTAAGGTTGATATTTGATTTGAATGTAAAAATTAGAAAAAAGTTAAATTTAATAAATTTATAATACTACTAAGTTTGGACTCATGTCCTCGACAATTGCGTGAAACGTTTAGGTCTGCGGGTTAACTGCATGCTGTCGCTTCTTAACGCGGTCCTTTGCAGAATTGAAAAATCTTTTAATGATAGCTTCAGCGTTGTCCAGTTTAGCATTCCCTACTGCAGACACACAGGAATCTGTGAACAAAGTAATCTTATTAAGCTACATACATATTACGCTGTAGGGACGCTAAAATTACCCAAAAACAGGCCGAGACACGTAAACTTAATTTTTAACCGACTTCAAAAAAAATTAAACTTACCTTTTTGGCTTATTCTTATTTATTTTTTTAATTTCGGTTCTTATAAATAAACGCGTTTATAGCACAAAATCACAATAAGATATATATTTTTTTTTTTGGTGGGTCAGAATTTTTTTATATTTTCAATGTCGATTGTGACATTATTATAATTACATTATTGATTTTCTTTCGAAATTTCCTAAAAGAATCGAAGTGTGCACAGTACATTTCATCTTAGAAAATTCGGCAAAAAATCGGAAAGAAAATAATGGCATCTTTACGATTTTCTTCCGCAATTTCGTAAAACAATCGAAGTGTGCACAGTTTATTTCATTTTAGAAAATTCGGCAAAAAATCGGAGGAGATCTTTACGAATTCTTTAAAATTTCTCTACAATTCAGAATACTCTGAAAAAATGGTTTGCAGGGTAGTTTTAAGTATGCACATATATTTGAATTCAAGTTTATATAAAATCTTTACATAATATTTTTGTTCGTCTCTTTAGATGATTAAAAACAATAATCTCTTTTTTGATAGATTTTCTCAATATGTAAAATATTTTTCTTCATGTACATACATATGTATGTGTATGAATGTGAATTAAATGATTTTTCGGTTATTGACAATAACAAAAAGCAAAGGTATGAAACAAATAGCATTTTTTTTAGTTTTTTCTAACTTAATACTTTGATACTTAAGTAAAAATTTGTGATACATTTGATCCATTTTTGGTTTTTTTTTCTACGATACATATTTTTATGACGTCGCGGCAACACTAATTCTAAACGATTTTGGTCGGATTTGGGAAGAAAATTTGGAGTGAAAAAAATTTGTTAGTGGCAGCGCTGATTGTTATGGTACGCAAAGGGTGAGAGCAGCAGTGAATGCAGATGGCATGACACTTGGGGTGCACTGTGGGTAGTCATGTCGGCTGGGTGGGGTTCTTGCATTCACCACTGTTCCCAGCGCCATAGTCATGTCTTGTCACACGTCTTCTTACGGCTTGGCCGGCGGTAACGGACGGACACAAATTCAAAAATTCAAAAAAAAGCAGTTGTACCAAAAAAAAAACGTGGAGCGCATGCAATTCAAAGAATTAGATTTAATTGACAATAGTAAAACTACATAACATAGACCTAAAATTTCTACAGCGCAAGTGCAAAATTTGAGATCGATTTTAAGCGATCGTTATTCATATACCCACATATGTACATTAGGGTGCCCATCGAAAATGCTTCTTTTTGGAAATTTCAAGACCCTACCCTAATTTTTTTGTATATATCAATTTTTGACCAATATCGATGAATTTCTTAGCCACACTGCTAATAAAATATGAAATTCCGGTACATACACACATATAAATTCAAGGCCGTATTTAAGAAAAGTCGCCTAACTTCGTCAATTTTTATGCGATTGCAATAAATGAGGTATCAGTATATTTGAAAATTTAGATAGTGCTCCAAATTTTGAAATTGTAGAAATTATCGATGGTCAAAATTTAAAAAATCTGGAGAAACAGGAGTATTTTTTTTAAATTTACCCGATAAAAAACCTAACAAGCCTAGTGCAACAATAGATTTTTATATACCATTTTAAAGGCCTATATATCCTCTGCTCAGATCTTATCGATCTTTGAAATGGAATCAAAAATTGTCATTCAAAAACTCATAAATCTATATAATCCTATTTTCAGACCTAAATCTAAAATCTATAAAAATAGGCAATAATATTTCTCATAAAAACGAATAAAATTAGGGGGTAGGGTCTTGAAATTTCCAAAAAAGCTATTTCGATGGGCACCATAATGTATATACTAGGGATGTTGGGAATGTGGAATCTTAGAAATCCGCGGATGCGAATGCGGATGCGGATGTTTAAAAGCTAACATCCGCGGATGCGAATGCGAATGCGGATGTCAAGTATTTTTAAGAAATAATTTAGGTGACTAAATTAGGTGATTTAGGTAAATAAAAAATGGAAAGGTAAGTAATTTGTAATAATGTGTTTTTGGTACTTGAATTTACAAATTGGAACATTGAATTTAATAAAAACTTTTTGAAGGGTCGTAAATCAAACCTACGCACAGTGCCGCCTAAGTGGGCATAAATCGAAAAATTCGTTATCTGCAATGTGAACTTGTTTGGTATTTCTGTAAAGACAATTTATCCACTAAAAAGAATTAAACAGACATTTCCCTAAAAAAATAATTATATGCCGCCAGGAAGCCACTAAAGTCGACTACTACTCGCTCGAGGCGACAAACTTGAAAAACTTGAAACAAAATTGTAAATTCTTTTCAATTAACGCTGCACAAGTTGAGAGGACTTTCAGTTATATATATATTTTCTTTTTTTTTGCGATGCAATAATTCCTTTTTGAGAATTGCAGTGGGGCTGACAATGTCGGATGTATTTTCCTGACTTTCATCTTCACAATCTAGCATCATGGCAAGATCGTTGTTTAAACACCGTTGTTTTCCAAAGAATTCTTCATTCTCAGTTTTTGGTTGTTTCGGAATTTGGAGAACCTGGAACGTCATCAGCGTTTTTTTGATTTTCGCATTTGTAATTAATTTTTAATCCTTTCTTCTGTGACTTGCCAGATAAACGTTTTATCAGTGCACTTGCACAATATTCCATGTATCGAAAATAACAGTTATTTTTTTGCGAGTTAAACCTGGCCTAATATTTTGTATTCCGAAATAAAAGCCCTTTTCGGATAATAAACAAATCGCTTATCCAAATTAAACAAATTTGGTATCATATGAAAGAGGACTGAAATAGCTTTTAAACAGAAATAACGAACGGAGGTTACCACCTCTATTTATATATTTTATATAATTTATTACTAAAGAAATTAATATACCTGAGCAAAGGTTTGTTCTATGGTAATAAATTAATATTTTTTATTCCCTAACAATTACCATATAAACCTAAGCTTAAGATTTTGTAGAACACTTAAAAA